TAACTACACTTACAGTGTTATTTTATTATTATTTATATATGATTATAGTTGTTATTAATATTCTGTATTGGCTTTTATTTTATATTTTTAGTTTTCATTTTAATTTTAGATTAATTTTTTGTAATTTTGTTAAGCACTTTTGTCTTTTTTTTACTATTTAGGTTTACTATATTTTTATTTCAGTTATTGTTTATTTCAGATATTCTTTTTCTCATTATTATTATTATTATTATTATTATTATTATTATTGTTGTTGTTTCGTTTCAGATTCATTTTTTTCCCCAGTTAGTAATTGTAATGCAACTTAAACTTATTTTAAGTTTTAAGTATTATAAAAAAATACTAATTTACTGTATTTTATTTCAGCTTTATTTAATTTAACAAAAATGTTTTCAAGTTTATTTTTAGTTACCAATAATAACCTAGGTTGTGTAACATACTAAAGCACATTTAAAAAACTTGGGTTATTCAATACTAAAGTTAGTCTATTTTTAATATATGCATTTAATATACATTTAATCTACAATATACATTTTAATTAAATTTTAAATAACATGAAGTGACGTGTCCAAAAACATCACATTCAGCGCACACTTAAGTATTCTCATGTAGAGGATATTATTATTAGGGCCCGAGCACCCATGGTGTGAGGACACTATTGGAATTGCTCAAACTCATGAAACTTTGCACACATGTCAGAACTGCTGAAGATGTACATCTGATATGGGTTTCAGAAGTGGGTGTGGCATAATGGCTCAATAGCGCCACCTGTACACATTCAACGGAGTGCGCCTCGAGCTACATTTTACATACATTTACGAAAATCGCTACACACATGTAACACACCATTACCTACAAAAAAGTCTCTTGGTACGGAATCCAAAACCCAACAGGAAGTCAGTTATTTTGAATTTCCTGTACGATTTTTGTGCAGTTTTTGCCATTTCCAGGCCTCGTACTTTGACGAATTCCTCCTACAATTTTAATTGGATCATCTTCAAATTTCATCATGTCAAATTCTTAACATGTTTGATGAGAGTCCTGGCCTGAACACATCTAAAGGCCAATATTCAGTTATAATCATAGCGCCACCTGCTGGCAACAGGAAGTTACTTGTTTTACACTAACTTAAACATGCAATGTCCGATCTGCCCTAAACTTCACATGTTTGGTAAGAGTCCTGGCCTGAAAACATTTACATGCCAATGTTCCGTTATTATTTATAGCGCCACCTGCTGGCAACAGCACATTTCATGTTTTACACTAACTCAAACATACCATGTTCAATCTGCACCAAATTTCACAGATTTGATAAAAGTCCTGGTCTGAAGACATCTACATGCCAACACTCAGTTATAATCATAGCGCCACCAGCTGGCAGCAGGAAGTTTGGCACATATAAATGACTTTGACATATTCCAGGAAGTTTGGGACATATAAATGACTTTGACATATTCCTCCTATATTTATCACATTAAATGCATATTGCCCACCGTTAGCTGTTTTCCTAAAGCCACCGGGTGCGAGGGCCCTTTCATCGCTGCTTGCAGCTTTAATTAAAAGTATATTTCTGTAATAAGTAGACTTTTTGAAGTGTAGCTGTTTTTCATAAGGCTGCACTAGTTTAGTTGAATTGCATCTGACTGGTTGAGGTAATGAATTGCACTGACACTGATAATGAGGGCTAACGTCAGAGCGTCAGGCTGAAGGTGTGAGAATAAATGAGTCAAACTCAAGCATGCTCCACGTTTCTCCACATATGAGATTCATTCAGCGTTTTTCAATATGCAATTAAAAGCTATGAACGTACAGCTAAAGAACGTTTTCAGAAGTGCAGGATGGCATCATTCAGTGCCAAGAACAAAGACGCGGCACTCGGCCATGTAATTAAAAAAGCTTTGAGATCCGCTCCGGCTCTGCGTGGCCATTAAAACACTGGGCTTTATTAAAATTTGATGAAGCACAAAGAATCTTTTGGCTGTGGCTGTATGTCGAGACCCGACTGCCTCCGCAGAACTCAGACTGTTTTTCACCCTGTAATGGGGTTTTGCTAAATAAAACATCCAGTGCGGATAAACAACACAAGACGGATGAAATATTGAAATTGCAAGCGCTTCATGTCCTCATGCTAATGTGAAACGCTTCAGACTGAGTTAGTGCAGAGCTAAAATCATCTCGGAGTAAATTAACTGTGAAAAATGTCAGCAGACAGAATCAAACGTGCTGACGACATCGACACGTGTGTTACATGTGTGAAATAACACGCAGAAAGACAGAGAATCACTCACCTGGTGACGTGAAGACGGTCCGAGGCAGAAATAGAGAAAGAAACAGAGAAAACGTTCATTACAAACACAGTGATGAACTGTCAGCACTAATGATCAGGGGCCAGTTGCATAAAAGGTTTAGACTAGTCTTAAGTTAGTCAGCTAATTTGTTCTTTAAGACTTTATGTCTTTATATATATATACTGTATATATATATATATATATAAATTTTT